TAGAGCAGACAGTGTCAACATGGATGTTAAAATCACCAAGTAAGATAACCTGGGATGACACAGCACAGGCTAACGTTAGTAATTGACTGAGTTCTGAGAAGAATTCAGTTTGCTGCTTGGGTGGTCTATAAATCAATATAACTATGACGGGACGTTTTAAACCAACCTTCATAAGCATAAACTCAAATGTAGTATTATGAAAATCCAGTTGGGTTAGTTCTATGGAGTCACGATAAATAACTGCAAGACCACCCCCTTTGCCAGTTGTACGAGGTTTAGACAGATATTGATATCCGGTCGGGGTAAGCAAATTTAGATGCAAATAGTCATATGGTGATTGCCAAGTCTCGGTAAGAAATAACATATCCAGGTTATTGTCAATAATTAGTTCGTTTATATAGGAACCTTTATCAGAAATGGAGCGACAATTAAGAAGAGCACAGTGTTTCTCCACAATGCTTCCATCGGAGGTAACGTTATCCATGGAGTCAATCCTAGTTGTGTTGACAAGTGTTCGCGGTGTTCGACAGTTCCTTTGAGAACGTTTCAGCTTACTCAGAGCCCTGTTGCTAGACCAGACGCACGGGATCACAGTAGACGATGGCTGATGAATACTGAAAGTCCTTCTAGACGAGCGATGTAAATAACGCGGGCGACGAATGATAGCAAGTGTACGGCAGTGTTCGTACGTCGCGGAGTCGAGATGCAGGTGCCCATTTAGAGCCTTTAGCTCGCAGGGCGTATATCCAATTTCCATGTTGGAGTTAGATCCAATAGTGACCAAAAAAATAATAATGAGCCTTAGAGCTATTGACGTGTTGGCAATTGCCATAGGAACGCCAGCCATCAGCAAAACCACGTTAGCCAGAACCACAATCATCGCAGCATCTACAAAAGTTCACTGAGAGGAAGGCTACCCGACCAGACAGTAAGCCAGTAGACCAACTGGCAAGAAGAGTGTTAACTCACCTGACAGTCAGTCCAATAGATGGAGGATCGAAGAGGTAGAGGGCTCGCAGTAAACCGACAACCAAAAAGTTCCCGGCGGCAACAAAGCATGCCTCGTTGAAACAAGGTAGTAAAAAACAGACCACAGAGTAGTATCCAAGTAGTATCCAAGAAACCAGAGGGATTCACAGCAGATCCAACAATAGTCCGAACAGTAGTCCAGTAGTCCAAAACGAAAGTAGTCCAAGACGGTAGTCCAAAAACGAAAAAGAACCAGACAAAACGCAAACACAGATCGTCACAAACAAACAAACAGCCCAGCGTGGAGCGGCAGCCAGACGCGCACAGCGTACCCACAACCGGTTTTGTGAATTCCAGTTCAATTCCTAAATTTGAATTGAATTTGAAATGAGGTAGCACACAAAATGCAGAACTGCAATTTGAATGTGAATGTAAGAAAGTCGAATTAAAATAAATTGAAGTTCAAGGACATGTAATTTTTAACTAGAAAGTAAAGTTTGTAAAGACAAAATTTGAATATTGGCTTCACAAAGCCTTGTTTGAAGGCTTTCGAAAATAAGTTTAAAAGGCTTAAAGTTTGAAGCTTTATAGGCCTTGCGGACAGAGAGAATGATAAAGTGATCAGCATGATCGTCTCTACAATTGCAGTCTACATAATAATTTCCTTAACTCTCCAACAACAAAGAGGCAACATTACTCAGGATTTTCTCCATCATCAGATCTTCCCACCTGGTGTATCCTGTACCGAGCTGAATCAAATTTGTTCATAACTAACAAATGTTTACACTCATTCTTTGTCTTTGTTGGTCTTCTGGCTTCAGACCTTTTCTGCTTCTTCAACCATACAAGTACTGATTATCCAATTGTCTCTTCTGATAAAGTACAATAAGTGTGTTCCATGGTCTAATTTTCCCTTTAATAAATTTGCTTTTGTGTTCTAGGCTGACAGAACATTGTTAAATTCAATAAATTCCAGTTCATCTTCTTGTAGGATGTCAAGTCATCTGTATTTTTGTAGCACTTTATTCAATAGAGGTTGTTTCAAAGCAGCTTAACAGGATTAAACAAGAAAGTAGCATAATCAGTGATGCAAACTTTAAATACATGTTCTGCTGTAAAGTAGCTCTAACAAGACAGTGTCATTATTCAGCTCCAGTCAGTTCCAGTCAGTTAAATATGTAAATATGTTCAAACAAGTTTAATTCCGTGAATAGGAGCTCAACTGTAGACAGTAGTGTCGTTATTCAACTCAAGTCAGTTCAATGTTGATTCAGTTTGGTTCAATAACAGAGTTGATGTTGCAAAATGTGTCAGTTCTGAACAAATTCGAGCTATAAAGCAGCTCTACGGAAGACAATACTGTTATTATTTAACTCAATTCAGTTCAAGTTTGGTTCTCATTAGGGATGTAACGATTAACCGTGAGCCGGTTGAAAATCGATTCAAATAT